ACTTAAATTTGACGGGAGCGAATCGCGTGCCAAACATTCGCAGATTACAACTCAAGATGTTCAGAAGACTCTGCATTTTGTCAGCGTCCTCGCCTAGAAGGACTATATTGTCTGCATATTCTAAGTCAACGAGATTATTCCCTGGTAGCAAGTCAATCCCTGAGTCGCTGAAGTGTGATATGGTTAAGTCCATTAGTACGTCTATGATGAAATTGAATAGGAATGGGGATAATGGGCATCCTTGACGGACGCCACTAGTCGTCACCACTTCAGATGACAACTCTCCATAGGCTCTCACCTGGCTGCATGGGTATGAGTAGAGTGCCTTGATCAGTGCAATGTATTTTCTCGGCATTCTTTTCACAGCCAATCATCATAGTACCTCTCGATCGACAGAATTGAATGCCGCCCTTAGGTTAAGAAATATAACGATTGTTGGACGCCGGAAAGTATGCCACCTTTGTTCCAGGATCTGTCGGAGGGTGAAGATATGACCAATACACCCTCTTCCTGATCTAAAGCCTGCCTGGTTCTTTCGTGTTTGTTACTCCCGTGGACCGGTTAGTCTGCGCATGATTATTGAGCCTAGAACTTAAGATAATATATTAGTCAAGCTAATCCCCCTGTCATTTCCACAGGAAGACTTGACTTACACTAACCCGATGGGACTTCCTTTGATTTCTAGACACTGCCTATTACCTCAGTTAACGCAGACAGTAAACTGTCTCCACCGTACTTAAATACCTCTGGAGTCATTCCATCAGGTCCCGCAGCTTGCCTCGTTTCGGACTAGTGACAGCCTTAGTAACATCAGTTAGAGACGGAGGACCTATGTCTATATTCCATTCAGGGAGGTGTTTTGCTTTTCGCAGCAAATTAGACGGTTTCTGATAGAAGTCATTCGACCTGCAATCTGTTGGGGCGTAAGCGGAGACTACGAAAAGACAACGACGGGTAACGCCGTCCTTCCTTCCTCTAACGGACCCGTTCAGACGGACCTCACACATACAAATATCTACTGGGATCCAGTCAAGAAATGATTTTTCTGCCCTAACACTCAATGCTATCCCTACACCTACGAGTCCTGGTAAACTAGCTAAGGGGTCTCCTGAAGTAAAGATGACTCACTAGCCTGAAGAATAATACTAACTGTAGTAGGGGAATAAGATGATGGTGATGTGGGTACAGGAGAATGATGTTTGGGTAGGTTTCGTGTGCCCTTGGAAGTGTGTGGGCGGTTGTTACTTCCCCGCTGCCCACACTTGAAACAGAAAGAGGGTTAGTGTTGCTTGACCGCAGAACCCAGAGGAATAACTGCTTGAGGCCGGTCACACACGGCCTGTGTGAACTGGTTTCTGGGATTGGTTCCGTCGGTGCGTCGGTGGCACAGTGGTTAGGACTCTCGCCGACCACGCACATGGTCCGGGGTTCGATCCCCTGCCGGCGCACACCCGATATCTATGGTCGGCCTGAATTTGGGCCACCAATATCCATGCTGAAAATTCCACACTTGTACTGAAAATACGGTGTGGAATCAAGCTGTAAATCAAAATAAATAAATAAATAAAATATTAGTAAACTTACCGCCGGTTACGGACCACTGTAGGGTAAGTCGGGATGTACAATTGTTGGGGTCGACCTTTTCTAACCCCCTCCCTCCAGAGTGGAAAGACAGCATAGCTGGCATGCTGGTCACCTGAGTGAAACATCTTACTGCTGTTACATTCCTGTTTCCCAGCAGTACGACTTCGCCCACATACCCCCAGCGTAGTGTAAGAGAATTGTCACACTATGCCGGTAACTGCTTTTAGTCTAATCGCTATCCTAACAACTTTTCTGGCATGGTACAATCTGCAGGAACAATAGTCCCAACAAGTGTAGCTAGTTGGCTTATTGCGATATGCAAGCCCGACCACCACGTCAAGGTAGCAGCTATCGGTCGGGATACAGAAATAACACATTATGAAGTAGGATATCATTTGATAAGGGATTACTACTTAGTTGGCAACGTTTTAAACAAAACTAATATGTCATACATTTGGCTCCCTTGATAAATTCCGATAAAGAAAGGAAAACGAAATTTGCAGTATAAAATGAAATATATATAAAAATAAAATATATACTACTTCAGCGACCTGACAAAAAAAACAGTAGTTTGACGTGATGGGAGCAATGTGCGTGCCCGCAATGAGTAATGAGCCAAAATAGGATTAAAGCCCTTTGATGTAATTCTAAGCATATAATTAGTGAATAAAATAATCCTGAGGTAAGCATCAAGTAATCAGTACTGCAGGAAAAGGATGACTGAAGTAAAAGCAGACGCAGAAAAGCACAACTCTTGTGTGAAGAAACTGTGTACTGTAATGAACAATACTCAGATGACCAAAATCCTTTAATTCCAGTTAGAATTTGCACACACATGGGTACTACGTTGTATTCAAAACTACTTATGGCAATTTAATAGGTCATGCTTCACGTTGTTTCGAAGATTAGTGGAATAATACTGGTACACAACTCGCTGGTGACAAATTCTGACAGTTTGAGCGAATTCATGTTTGCCTTAAAAAATAAACATGCCTAAAGTTGAAATTCTAAAACTGATGGGTGGATTGCATTATCATTCACCACACACAGCTAGCGTGATTACTACTTACCAGGCAACATGTGACATTGCATAGTTCTCAAAAAGGTTGCAATCAGACCAATATTCTGATACTGGTATTAAAATCATCAAGGTCCTGAAAGTGTTAGTATACAATTCTCATTTCTGCCTCCTAACTAGCGGTCCTTAATTGAAAATCAAAGTATTAACTTATCTTCTAGGTCCTTAATCTTGTTAATCCCTTCCCAAGCTCTGTAAAAATGTATAAGGGTGAGTTATTACGTCATTGATTGTTAATAAATGCTTCAAATACACGCATTCTTCCCAGAAACGGTCGTAAACAACTGTAGCCTGGGACTAATCGAGATGATAAGTCATTTAACATGTCTTGGCTGTGAAGGTGGCACCAACTCACAGTTCGTACCATAATATCTTAATTACCAAGGACTAAATTGAGGTAAAATATAGCTTTGTACAAACTATTTCACTCCGAACACAAACCATCATAAAGGCGAGTACTCCAAGAAGTGAAAACAAAACAATTTTTAAGAAATATACAGGAAATAAAGGAATAACGATAGGATACGATGCTTACATCAACTCTAGTGGATGATTCTTCGTCCACTAGTGATTTGAGGATGTTTTTGTTTTCTGGATCAGCTAATGGGCTACGAATTTGTGTTACATCACTTGACGCTACAGTAATTTGAACATATGGATTCAAAGCAGATAGTTGACCGAGGCTTGCTTGGGCCCTAAAAAACAGAGGAAACCAAATATATTGTAATAAAACTGCTGGTGTAGTTTATGTAAAACCAAAAGCCATTTCTCACGAAAAATGGGATTAACCAACTTCGACTTATAGAGAGACGCAGTTAACTGCTCCAGTCAGTAGCAAGACAAACAGTAAACACAGGATAAGAAATAAAATATTGAATAACAAAATCTGGCAGGCGGTATTAATATCATTTTGCATGATTTCCACACGACAATTTTTTGTAAAATCGTATGTAGTTCATACTACCTACACGGATACAGAACAGAACAAAGGTGTTCCCACAAAGCGGACGAAATTGGGGACACTAGTAGTAAAAAATAATTAATAATGACCTGTCACGCGTGCTTAAAACAAGCAATATAAAAATAAGGCGAAATTTGAAAAATATGTGCGGTGACGCCACAGTACGACGAACAAAGGAAAAAAGAGTAATGTCTACCTGGAGTATTTTGTATTTACCTAGTTTTTGCAGCAATTACATCTGACTCTTGAACGTAAAATTGAGTTCCTAAGTCCTCCTGAGTGCAAAAGGAGTGGTCCTGGATAACAATTTCGCCAATTCCAGCAAGTATTAAATTTTTGGCTTTGGCCACCAATTATATTTGGGAAGATTTACCTATTTCTATACCAACACCTCCAAGTCCATGCAAAAATACTCTAGATTTTGACATTTTCTGCATAGCATTATCGCCTAGGACACATCTTTGGCGACTGAAATAGGAAATTAATAAATTTAGAAGACTGAACCTGTAAAGGGAATCATCTATCTCATCTCGCATTGTGATAACGCACACTAGAAACACGTCAAGGGCAGCCTGTCGACGGCCGTAATTTTGAGTGCCCGCGAGTAAGATAAACAAATGATTTGCTAGCTTGTGATTGGCCAGTTTGTCATTCCAGCTGCGGTAATTTCAAATATCATTTAACTGCTTGGTTAAGTTCGCAATTGCCAGGAGCGTTTTATCAAGTCGGGTGCATAATTGACAGCACATACTATTACAGTTCATAATAGATTTGATAAATCAGAGGATTTATTTGCTGAATTCAATGAATTCATCCCATAACAAGATCAAAACAGTATAGATTCAGTTGATAAGGATAGAAGGCTCTTGTGGCCTGTGTTAATCGTTGCAAAATATATCTCTGCAGAGATCTAACTTCTCTTTGAAAGTGTTCACCGATGGAGCTGTTACTACTGAATCAGGTAAGTAGTTCCAGTCGTTGACCACTCTATGAGGGAATCTAAATTCTGCACGTATTTTAATCGTCCTCGGTTTGAGCACCTTTTAGCGGTGACCCCGTAAATGTATCCTAGAAGGAGAGAAAAGTTTAGAAAGGTCAGTTCCTAAATCACCCTTAAGTATACGGTAAGTCGCCTCTCTTCCTTCCCAAGCTTACAACAATTCTAACCTATGCGTTGATAATGCCTTTTTATGGTAAATGAAAATTTTTTCTACCCACTATGTTCTTAAATAACGCTGGTCGTGCTTAAAAAGAGAGCTGGGTGCTGAATTAGGTCTTTTCGTTCTGAAGTAATGCTAGTCAGTGCTTAATATGTCCTCTAATGGCTGGAACAACGCTGATAAGGAAACCCAGTATGTTCTGATCTACTCCTGAAAATGCCTAGAAAAAGAACACGGTGCTGAATTAGTTCTAGTCATGCTGAAAACCAGCACTGAGTTCTAGTCTGTGCCATTAAACAAACCATTTCAGAACAGATTCAGAATTTACTCACTATAGGATGCAAGAATTATTTCAGAATTACTGAGATTTAATTCAGCATTATTGTAAGCTTGGGTTCGGTATGATAACGGAAAGAGATTTAGATGCTCCATCCTCTTATCATAAGGAAGGTGTGAGATACCACTAACTAATTTCGTTCCTACTCTCTGTACTCTTTCCAGGATAGGTGCCTCCTTTTTGAAGCATGGACCCGCCGCTTGTACGCATTATCCTAGATGAGGCCTGGCATATGTTGCGTAGAGCATTTGGAACATGCCCTCATCTAATTGTTTGAAAGCCCTACGGAGTGCCCATAGCATTCGAAAAGCCTTAGCTGCGGCTGCATTGCAATTTGCAGTTGTTTTCAAATCATTGCTGACAATGATTCCTAGGTCCTTCTGTTCGTTAACATCAGACAGTTCTGTGTCCCCTAGGGAGTACGACGTATAAGACTTCTGACCTAAGTGCATTACTGCGCTTTTCCTAGAATTCATTTCCAAACTCCACAGGTTCGACCGCTCAGCTAATTTATCTAGATCAGTTTGTAGGGCCGACCTATCCTCGCTATTATTTACAGTTTTCCATATCTTAATGTCGTCTGCAAATAACAATGAAGATGAAGTAAGAATCCCTGGTAGCTCATTAACGTATAATAGGAATGGGAAGGGGCCTAATACAGTTCCCTGAGGCACTCCACTGGATACTGCTTTCCACCCTGATAGTACACCGTTAACTCTAACCTTCTGCCTTCTATCCATTAGGTAATCCCTAAACCACTCACATAGGTATTGGTCTAGTCCGAAACCTCTAAGTTTACTAAGGAGACCTAAGTGGGATACTTTGTCGAATGCCTTGCTAAGATCAATAAAAACCACGTCCAACAGAAGGTTTTTATCTCTGGCCTCGACTCAATCTTCCCTAGCTAACAGTAAGTCTGTCAAGCAGGATCGTCCTTGTCGGAATCCATGCTGTTCAACTGCCAGTAAGCCATGTGTTTCAACGTAAGCTAATAGCTGATCCCTTATAACAGTTTCCATTACCTTTGCTATAATGCATGTCAGACTTACCGGCCTGTAGTTAGATACCAATTGCCTGTCCCCCTCTTTGAATATAGGGCTTATAATGGCATCCTTCCAGTCCCTGGGTAGCTTAGCCTGAGTCAGTGACATTTCGAAAATCTCCGCAAGCGGAATATATATTATATCCGCCAAGGAAATTAACAATTTAGGGTGAAGTCCGTCAGGCCCAGGTGATTTACCTGGCTTCAGTTTAGACAGTAGTTTGAGGACTTTTGTGTGCTCTACCACAATTGAGGGCATCTGAGTGGCGATGGCCGTAACCTCGCCATATCCCTGGGTGGTACTATCCGACGAGAAGACGTCACAGAAGTATTCGGAGAGGCTTACAGCCTTTCCTTCGTCTGACTCAGCCGTGAGGTTTATACCAACCAAATACACAAATGTATATACGTGAAAAAAAAGCGTAAATACCGAACAAAACACAAACTGTGAATAATTTGAACAACACTTCAACTAAATAAATCAGTTAAAGTGAACTAAAAAGCTTCTGATGTGGTTTAAACAACAAAAGCAGAATTTACTTCACAAAGTAAAAAATGCCACTATCCTTTTTCAAAGCGCGCGCGTCACTTATGTATATGTAGGTAAACCTACATTTACTGTTTTCCTGTCACGAAGATCGGTAAGCAGTGTAATACATGTAGGCTACATGTTTTTAGTTGAAATAAACTGGGTCTCCATTCCCTTTCAGGATTAATCTTGAGTTCATTTGGAATAAGCTAGTTGACCACATCAGTATTGCGAGAATACAGTGAAAGTAAGTAAACACCTGCTTCATAAGATTAAGTGATACATTTAATTGATATGATTGTATAATAAGTAGTTGTCTATCTAAGTTAATGATGAATTCGTTGTGATAATAATACCTATTATTGCTTTTATAGTCACTATGAACATGAACGTTATTATTATTAATGCTGTCAGAACTCGTATTTTTTGTCATAAAGCTGTTGTCACTTTTGTTAAAATCTTTGATCAAGCTTTGGAAACTATTGCATAACTTGTCGTTAAATAATTTTTCATTTCATGATGCTTCGATGGACCTACTAGATATCGACCGACGATAAATTGTGAAGTCCCTTGAGTTTAGTGAAAACTATTTAGCTACTTATATATATTGTTTGTGAAGTGATCACTTGTAAATGCTTATGAAGAAACATTTTTTATTCAGATCATACATGTACCACCTAAGTTAATAATGCTTTTCTCAAACCTTTTCAGGCCTATAGAGAAACATATATGTGCTGGTACGCAGATGGGACCTACTGAGTGACGGAGGACTACTCATGTGAATTATCTGTGCATCTCAAATCTAATTTTTGTTTAATAAACACTTTTTTAATGAATCTGTGTTCCTTCTGTTGTAACGCGATTGTGTTCCAGTGACGTTAGTAACACGTGCTAAGTTAGGAATTAAGGGCAAACTTTTAGGAGTAAATGCGGCGTCTGGGAAACTGTTGTTTACGCGATTACATGAACAGATAGCAACGTACCGTGTTCTGTAGCTGCGAACCGTAGGTATTCTAATGAAGTATAATTGTATTTCAACAGTAGGCATTCTGTTTTTAATTATTACGATAACCGTAGTTGCACTGAGTTATAAATCTAACAGTATGGGTACATTATTCCCATCTTGGTTTATTACGGTAAGTAGAAATCGCAAGCTCACTATCTCAGGTAGATTTACTTTTAACCTTGTTTGACTATGAATCCGAAGTCAATTAATAGGTTCCTACTAAGACATGTTTAAGTGCGTCGGTGGCACAGTGGTTAGGATTCTCACCGACCATGCACATGGTCCGGGGTTCGATCCCCTGCCGGCGCACACCCGATATCTATGGTCGGCCTGTAAATTTGGGCTACCGATATCGCATGCTGAAAATTCCATACTTGTACTGAAAATACGGTGTGGAATCAAGCTGTAATCAAAAATAAAATAAAATAAGACGATATATAACTAAGCGCTTATAACCTCAGTGTTTTCTTTTACAAGTGGACGCAGTAACTTCATTACAGCACGACATAGTCTTTTTATCAATAAGCCTCTCCAAATATCTAATTTTACCTAGCATTTTTAAGATAACGTCATATACTCCGTACCTCACAAGTTACGCAAAGGCTAGAAATCAGCTTTATCAAGTAGAATATACAAACGAATAACGAGGAATACATTTATTAATGAATAAACATGTAATACATAATCAACAACACGGCAGATATCTTTTTCTTTATATCGCCCAAATCCATGAAATTCCCGAAAGTAGATATTATCTGAAAAAGAACAAGGGAATTCTTCCCTGTTTAGTTAGACAGGATGGGTTGAGGGTACACAGTTAGGCATCCATGCCATCTGAAAGGTTTACCTGTTCGCGTATGGACCCTAGTTAATCGAGCATTCATCTTTGCTTAATAAAGTGACATACAAGCACCATAAATATTATCGTTTGGACCATCCCATATCACTATATCCTCCCATTTGCATCATAAGTGAATACAACAGTCACTTTTATTTTGTTCTATATTTAAAACTAATATTATTCTCTTCTTGGATCTTCTGGTTAGACTTAATGACTGAACGTTTGTAGGGGATCAAAGAAGTTTTTCAACTCAGCTGAACCTCCACCTATTAATCTGTCAGTCCGTGCGGACTGAAACACATGGTGGTCAAGATAATTTCCAAGGGACAAGACCTTGGGCGCTTCGATGTGGTGTGGTTACCTACTTATAAAGTCTCTGCTAATTATCGTTAACAAATACATCTTTCAGCAGTCGTAAGAAGTATATACCTGCTAGTTGGCATGGTGTCCAGGACAGCCTGGCCAACACGTTAGGTAAGCCAGGCCAAGGAGTCAGCAGGTAGTGGATAGAGCCCAGGTCTAGCAAGATTGAAAGCCACGCAGCAACAGTGAGCGCTGCACTTAGTCGAAACCAAATGAAAGTGAGTCCAAAGTCATTCAGTCAACCTAAACAACTGGCTTCCTAGAATCATAGAAGTGATTCTTGCTAGCATACACCATCAATCAAGATTCAGGATCATATTTAGT